CATCCTCATCCTCATCATCACCATCACCATCACCATCACCATCACCATCATCAACATCACCATCACCATCACCATCACCATCACCATCACCATCACCATCACCATCACCACCACCACCACCAACACCATCACCATCACCATCACCATCATCATCATCATCATTATCATCATCATCATTATCATCATCATCTCCAGTACCACCCCAGGCCACCCACGATTTCTGTGTGGCGGGCGTCCTGGGCGATTCCACCGAAGGGCGCGGCAACGAGCGAGCGACACAGACAGACAGGAGGAGGACGAGGAGGGAGACCAGGGACCAACGCACCAACACACCACCGAGGAGGAGATCCGAGCCCGAGAGGAGAAGTGGCGGCGAACACGACGCCGAGGGAAACACTAACAAGCTAGAGTCGATTAAACTTGCTGGGAATAGGACAGGCCAGGGAAACCAAATGTTTAAACCCTTGGAAACCAGACACCCTCGCGATATAGTCGGCGAAAAAGCTACAAAACTTCAAAGGGCACGCTTCGGCGAGGCGGGTCCAGAGGAGCCCTGACATGGGGTCGAGGCCAGAGAGGATGATGTGGCGCTTCCCCGGGAAAAAGAGCAGAGACCTTTCCTACAGCTAAAGCGAGTCACCACGGCGGTCTCAAGTCGATGGCGGGCCCAGATGGCCAATCCCGTGTATTTTCGCCAGCGGGCGCCGAACGAGCACATGTCAAGGTCGTGGACCGCCACATCGGGAGCCTCAAGTAGCCGCTGGATACCTGGAGTGGGCCACATCCACGAGTTCCAGGGATTCTTAAGCAGCACGGGCACCCCCCGAGCGCGGCAGACTGAGATGAGGCCCAAAACGAATCTCAGTTGGTGGTTGCCCAGCTCCACGGCCGCGCGAGGCCTGCCCGTAAGACCCGGGAGGCCCCATACGTGCTCACGAGACCGCATCGAGCACCAAGAGGACCCAGGCGGCCCGTGACGGGCCTGGTTCGACGAACTGCACGGCAGGGCGATCCAGACGGCAGCGCAGACGCCCCCGCGAATCCACCCTCTGAGCGTCTGACGGACGACAGGCAGGTCGAGATCGAACCACGGTTTTGAAGCGACGTCCACGGGCAGCGCGGCGATGCTCCTGCGCCGCAGCGCTGCCCAGAGACGGCCTGCACCTGCGAACAGCTCTAAGACAGCCGTGCGAGGGCGCCCTTCCGACGCTTGAAGCTGCGGCGAAGCTCGCGGAGCAGGTGGCGGCGCATGGCTGCGTTCGAAGGCTTCCCCCCGCAGTCGGCGGCGAGCTCTGCTGCTCGCGCAAGGCCAGGCTGGGCGCGGGCACGCCGCGCCCCTTCAGGAAGACGTAGGCGAGGGCGGCGTCCACCGCCAGGCCGTAGGCGATGATCCGTGGGCCCAGCCGCCGCAGCTCTGCGACGACGCGGGGCTGCTTGGCGCACCGCTTGAAGCTGCGGTCCGACGCCCCGTCGCCCCACTGGTGCACCTCGAGGGACTGGCGCCTCTTGGAGAAGATCGTCGGAAGCTCCCTCGTGGCCGACCACGCGCGCTGGAACTGGGACGTCGTTCAGGCCGAGCAAGCAGGCGGGCTCCTTCATGCTCATGCCCAGTGAGTTTGCCTCCCCCGAGCGACCCAACTCGCCTGGATGCAGCAGCAGCGCGGCGAGCCCCGAGCCCCCGGCGACCGCCGCGACGGGGGGGGCGGTCTGCATCGCGGTGGGGAGGTGGGCTTCCGACGGGCGCAGGTAGCAGGCGAAGCGCAGGATCATGGCAAAGGCCTGCCCCAGCCGTCCGTGCTGCCAGATCACCCCCGCCAGCGCCGCCCCCCACAGCCACGGCAGCGGCGTGCGCATCCGCCGCGGGACGCCCATGCCCCAGCCCGCCCGGGCGCGCGCGGCATGGCAGAGAAGCTGGACGCCCCAAAGCCCGATCGGCGGCAGGGAGAACTTCACCACGGCAAGGAGGCGAGAGGCGTTGTCCCCGCTGTGGCCCTGACAGTAGACGAGGTCGATGTACATCACCACGATCGAGTCGAGCTGTTGCCACGCGCTCCAGACCAGGTGGAGCTCGCAGCGCCATTGGATGAACGCCGAGCCGCGCCTCTGGTGGTCGGCAAGCGCGGGCCTGTCGACGGACCAATGCTCGAGGCGCGTGAAGCCCATCCCCAGCGAGCCACGGAGGGCCTCGCGCCGACGGGCTGCCGCAGCCGGCGCCGGCGCCATGAGGATGCCGGAGCCATACTCCTGGAGGGCGGACAGGATATCGACCGCTCGACCCGGGAACGGCTCGGCCGCCCGCGGGTGCTTCCTCGCCAGGGCGCGCGTCAGGAAACAGACGAGAACCAAGCCCAGCAGCCACCTCGGACCCGATCGCCTTGATGTAGGGTAGCCCGCGGGACGGCCCATCTGAGGGGTTGAGCTCGCTCGGAATCCATCGGGCGACGACGTGCGGCTTGCACCCCAGCGAGAGCGCACAGATCTCACGGAGAACGCTCCGCTGCTGAGGAGAGCCACCCCGTCCCTTCCCGATCGCCAGGGCGAGCGACACGTTGCCCACGAGGCAGACGATCCTGCGGCCGAAGGCCGAGGATGACCTGAGCTGATGGCGGAGCGCCGAGCCAAGGGCGAGGCCCTCCGCGCGGTAGATGTCGAAGGAGTCCCGCCAGGCGAAGGAGTGCGTGACCGCCCAGGCCTCGCCCACGAGCAAATTGGGGTCGATCTCGCCAAAGGACTTGTCCCAGTTCTTGGCCTCGTCGGAGGGCAGGCGCCCAGGGCCCCGTAGCACTGCGGCCACATCGGCAGCCCCAAGCGCGCGCTCGCGGGCCCGCGCGGACCCCTCGAAGAGGCACCTCCACCGCTCGGCCGCGCGGCCAATCTGGGCGGCGGCCTCGGGGTCGCACCGGCGGCGGCGCACCCCGCAGCCCCACCCTGAGGCGTCGCTGGCAGTGATCTCGTCGTGCCACGAGGCGTCGGTGAACACCGCGAAGAGCGTGGGCAAGGATCGGACCTGCCAGAGCTCGCGGCGGACCGAGGGCCACAGGGGGAGCGCCTCGTCTCGCGCGGCCTGACGCTGTCGAAGATGGCGAGCGAACAGCGCTGGAGAAGCATGGCCCACGTGCAGTGCCCGACGACGATCTCGACGATGGCACCGCGCACCTTGGGCCGCCGCAGGAGCTCTTCGATGGCATAGCGCAGACGCCAAACCCGCCTAGCCGACGCCCGCACCGCGTGCTCGCGTCCGTCAAGGTCGAGGCCGACGAAGCTCGCCTGGCGCGTGGCGTCGACTTGCTCGTGGACCACGAACCCGAGCGACGAGAGCTGCTGCTCGACCTTCCCCGCTGCCGCCCGCAATTTGGCCCGCTGACACCCTGCGACCAGGTAGTTGTCGACGTGGGCTGCGCCAGCGGCGGGGCGTCGGGGTCCGAGACGGACGCCGAGGCTGCGGTCGCGGACCTGCTGCTCGGGCGCGATCCTCGCGCGCGCCAGCGACGCCTCGGAGACGCAGCGGCAGAGGTGCCAAGCCCAGGATCAGCCCATCGGCAGGACGGTGAGCTCGGGAAGCAGTCACTCGGGCGCGTGAAGTGGCACCCCGTCAAGATGAGAAACTCCAGCCAGCCCTGCCCGAACGGGCGGGAGCGAGAAATGCTCGCAGAGGCCCTCCGGGACGCGCATCGCGTAGAAAGCGTTCGAGATGCCCACGTGTCGCCGCTGCCCTGCGCCTCCATGCGCGCGAACGCGCCGCCGCTTGGCAGCTCGGCGCAGGGGGGCGGCTTGAAGCGAGCATTGCTGATGCGGGTGTCGAACACCAGCCGCTGCTGCCCCGACTTCTTGGCGACGACGAACACCCCCAGGAGGCCGCGGCGGCCGCGGGCGGCGGACGCGCGCAGAATCCCGCGGGCCAGCAGCTCGGCAATGAACTCGCCGTAGGTGTCGGGGTGCCGCAGCTTAGGGTCGATGTAAGGTTGAGCGAGGCCGAGGTCGCGACGCAGCGCTGCCGCCTCCGCAGACGGGCGAAGCATGTGGGCCTTCCAGTCCTGCAGCCACAAACGGTCAGCCTCCAAGAGCGCGGACTCCAACGCGACGGGCGCGGAGCCACCCGAAGGCCAGGACACAAGGTCCTTGCTGTAGGACACCATGTCGCCGCGCCCCGCCGCGTAGAGCGGGCAACTGGAGCATGTGTCAGAGAGCGACGAGGACGGAAAGATGTCAGGTGGCGGGCCGCCGAACTTGACATACTGGTCAGCGATGTAGTCGAGCGACTTCCGCTGCAAAATTGAAGGCCACTTGCGGACAGGCGGCGAGCCGCCACCACCCAGCCAGTTGAGCGCGTCGATGCCGTCGCTGGCCCAGGCGAGCCGCGTCGGGCAAGGACCGCCCCTGCCAGCGTGCGGGTGATCACCAGGAGACAGATGAGGAAGAGGAAAGACGTTTCGCTGTCGACTGACCGCCATGGCGTGGGGACCACGACGGCAGGAGCGAGTGGCTGAAGGGGGGCTCTCCGGGGGAGCCAAGGCCCCAGTGGCCGCAGCAGGTCTGCGAGGGGAAGGGGGCTAGCTTTCGGCCCCCTTCGCGCCGCCGCCGCTCTGGCCCGCCCCGCGGGCGCCAGCGGGCGGGTGGAGCAGCTGCCGCTCCTCGCGCGCCTTGCGGCGCTCCTTTGCAATGGCAGACTGGGCGGCCAGCTGCTCGGCTACCGAGTCAGAGGGGGCGGGCGCGGCCATGGCCCCGCGCGTGGACTGCCTCCCCGTGAAGAACAGCTCGTGCCCCCCAGGTCCTGCGAGTGCGAGCTGACGAGCTTATCCTTGTGTCGCTCCTCGCGCAGCAGCAGCTGCCGCGCAACGAGCTCCAGGCGGGCAACGTTGGAGCCGTCGATCTGGTTGTACGACTGCGCCACCTGCCTGATCTTGGAGCACCCGAAAAGCATCTAGACGAAGGTGTCGTCGGGGAAGACGCCAGCGCCCAGGCCAGCCTTCCGGGCAAGGGGATGGCCCGGAGGAAACCGCCTATCCTCCATCTGGTACACCGCCGCCCAGTGGTAGGCGGCGGGCCCTGGGACGGGCCAGTCCGCGAAGGCCGTCGGCCGCAGGGGGTGCACGCTGTCCCGATACTCGAGATGCCGCTGGCCCCGAAGATCGAGCGCCGTCGGCAGCGTGCGGAGGTCCGCCGCGTTCTCCCTCGGTGGGCCGCCCGGGGGCGGATCCGCAGCAGCGAGAGCAGGAGCTGGCCCGTCAGGGGGAGGCCCAGCGACCAGGGCGGCCAAGCCCGCGAGTGCGCCGCCAGCGTCGGGCGCCGCGGCGGCGGGAGGCGCGGCGGGGGCGCCATCGGGGGCCGCCGCGGCGCCCGCGGCGCCCATGGCGGCGGGCGCGCCCGTGGCGATGCCGCAGCCAAGGGGCCCAGGCCCTCCTCCAGCGCCGACGACGGCACAGGGAGCACCCCCGACACCCCGAGCCCAGCCGCTTTGAGCACCAACAGCAGCACCACGACGGCCATCGGGCTCCACGAGCCTCGCCGCCCCGACGACGCAGGACTGTGCGAGCTGGGCCACGGCTGGTGCGCCCGCGAAGTCGCACTTCCTGATGCCCGCGGAATAGACGCGCCCGCGAGGGGCGATCCCCGCAGGCCACTCCTTCCGCCAGGTGCGCACATCGGTGTTGGCGGCGTCGCCCTCCTCGACGTGCACGCTGACGTCGGGGGTGAGCACCGCGATGTGCTGCACTGAGTGGGTGGAGCATCCCAGGACGATCCGCTTGTGGGCGATCCGCGGTCCAAGTTCTTCATACTCAACCCAGATCTCCTCGCCCACCGCAATGATGAGAAGCGCGCTCGACCTCCAGCGCGGGGCGGCCGCCGAGCTGGCGAATCGCCCGCCGCAGGGCCCTCGTCCGGCAGCACGGGCGGAGGGGGAGCGCGGCGCGCGGCGGCGCAGCGAGCCGCCGGGGCGCCGAGCGCTGCCGCCCCGCGTGCCAGCTCGGCACCCCGCAGGAGCAGGTCCCCGAGCACGGCGTCCCACCCCAGGGAGGGCCGCCCGCCGCCGTCCGCCTGGCCAGGGGAGCAGGCGGGGCGGGGGCGAGGGGGCAGCCGCTGCCGCGGGCGCCCGCGGCGCCAGGGGCGGGGGCGGCGGCGCGGGGGCCGCGAACCGCCACCAGCGCGCCAGGAGCAGAACGCCGAATCGACCAGCAAGCGGGAGGCCGAGCCCGACGCCAGCGAAGCGCATCGGGTGGAGGGCCTCTCCCTCCAGGAAAAGAGACTTGAGCAGTCGCGGTTGCGGAGCGACGGCAACCTGAGCACGCGCCACCGCGACGGCCTTCGGTTCACGAGAGATGGAACGTGCAAACACAGCCATCATCATCATCATCATCATCATCATCGTCATCATCATCATCATCATCATCATCATCAGGAGATTCCCCACCCGTCCATTTATACAGAACTCTCATATATGTCATCCGCATGTGGTGACCTTGCAGACAGCACAACTCTGGGAGCACGCCGGCGTGACACACACAACAACGCACAATACAGAATCGTGCAGCCAAGACAATTGTTTGCGGCCCGCCAAAAGCTAGGGCGGGTAGGTCGTGCACCAGTTCAGACAGGGAGGGGGGCTTGAGCGAAACGTATCGGACTCTGTGTATTCATATCCTGCACGTTCAGAGGACAAGTCGGAGATTGCCCACCCGTCCATTTATACAGAACTCTCATATATGTCATCCGCACGTGGTGACCTTGCAGACAGCACAACTCTGGGAGCACGCCGGCGCGACACACACAACAACGCACAATACAGAATCGTGCCGACATTCGAGGCACCAAAAGTCGCTATCGGTTCACTGCCGTCAGTGCGGCTCGGGGTCATGCACGCGGAAGGGGTACAGGCGGACGGTTTGCCGAAGGACACGATCGAATGCAGCATCTTGAAACACATCGGCCATTCGATTCGCAAGCACGCGAGGGTAAGCAGCGGCACGAGCGGTCCAGTGAATGCCCAGGCCGTCTCGGCCCTGGAGAATCTGGTGTTTCTTCCCAGAGAACGAGCAGATGCCATGGACAGCTTTACAACGCTTACACAATTCGTCGGCTCTCGGCAGCAGGAAGCATCTGAGCCTCGTGGGTTTACACCACGGCGTGCCCCAACCGCAATAGTTAGTTATAATGTCGCGGACCCCGGGCCAGCGAAAGATCCGAACGGCAGCAGCCATTTTCCACATGTAGGATGACTGAGGATTCTCCCACAAAAAGGAACCCGCATCTGTTTACAGCACTTAAAGATCTTACAGGACACCTGAAACAGTTCGTTGCCCTCGTCTACCAGGCATTGCAAATGAGGCGGGAGAGAGGGGAGGCCAGAGGGCGCTTGCGACGATCTGATTGCATTATGGCCTCCTCGGGCAATGGAGAAAAACTTACATGGCACACCAGCTAGCACACCTAGACACTTGTCAGACTTGATCATTCCCAAGATGCGCCTAAGGACAGCGGGCCTCAGGAGGTCACCTTGGGGCCCTTGCAGCACATCGAAAGAGTACACTCTGAACCCACGACGGCGCAACGAATTCGAGAAATGCTCTGAGCCGGAGAAGATTTCTACATAGAAATACTCGTGCCTCTTGGTACGGGGGTCACTCAGGCGTTGGCGGATATCGAGGCGGCGGCGAGCAGCGAGGGCAGCTCGGCCTCGGCCTGGAGGCAGTATGCCTTGGCTGAGGGTTCCATCTCGCCCCACACAGCCTCGGTGAGCCCGCGCTTCTCGTAGCGCCTGACCGAGCTCGGCTGGCGCCAGCGGCCGCGCCGCTGGACTTCCTGCAACGAGATCCCCCCCGTGAAACGGTCGATGGACGCACCGCTGTGTCGGGCTGTGTAGAGCACGGGCAGCAGCTTGTCCAAGTGCAGCGCGCGGGTCGCGCGCTCGAACACGTCCTTGGCCTCCGTCATAGTGAAGGTCCACAGGGGGCCACTGGGCGGGCCCTGGGCCAGTCGAACCAGCAGGTTGCCCAGCCACGGACGTGCCACGTCCACTGTCTCGTCCATCTCGCCAGTCTTGCTCGGCCTCTTCATGTAGTCGGGGTCGATGTGGATCGTTACCTTGGGCATGTGCGCCTGCGGAGGGATCACCTGGCCGCAGGTCAGGCGGAAAGCCTCGCCAGGCCTCAGGTACGTGTCCACCATCAGGAGCCAGAACACCGCGAGGGCGGGGCGGCCGCTGATCTTCCAGATCTGGCGTGCCACGCCCATGCAGGCCGCCCAGGGCAGCGGGCGTCGCGTCCGCGAGGGCCGCAGCAGGCGCCAGCCTCGCAGCGCGCGGTAGGCGCGCGGCAGGGCCAGCTTCCCCTTGCTCTGGTAGTCGGGCACGTGCATGAAGATCGCGGCGAGGAGCTTCTCGCCCGTCGACGCGACCTTCCCCTCGAGGTACAGCTCGTCGAAGAACCTCACCACCGCGGCGTCCGTGTCGGCAGCAGGCGCCGCCAGAGACGTCAGGCGGCTGCGCCTGAGGAACAGCTCGAGCAGCCGCGTGTACTGCAGTCGGCTCCGCCGTCCCACCGCGGCAGCCTCGGTGATGGAGAGCTGGCGGGCGGTGTCCCGCGCCTGCTCCCCAGCGCCCAGGCGGCGCTGCACAGACCGCGGCAGCTCCCGCAGGGGGATGCTGCGCGGGTCCGCTAGCACCACCGACGGACGTCGAAGCAGAGCCTCGCGGCGGCGCCAGGCAGACGAGCCCAGGGGGCCCCAGCTGCGGCGTAGCGGCGTCCGAGCCGCCGAGGGCTGCGGAGGGGCCTGCGCTGACGGGCCACTCCCAGGCGCGCTGCGCTTCAGCCGCCTGGCCGACGCCGGCGCCGCCAGGCCGCGGGACCGCAGCGGGCGCGCGGCTGCCAGTGGCAGGGCAGCGCTCGAGTCCAGGCGGGGCCGCTGGGGCCGCGGGCCAGCCGCTGTCGGGCCGACCGTCGCCCTCGGGGCCCCGCGCCGAGCTGCGGCGGTGCCGAAGCTGGCGCCCGCGCGCCGCGGCAGCGCGCCAGCTGGCCCCAGATGCAGCGCGTCCTGCAGCACCCTCGCGGGAGCGGCTGTCACCGTCGGCCGCATTGAACTCGCTGGGCACCCATCGTCGATGCATGCGGGCCCCCGAGGCGAGAGTCAAGGCGGCGCCTCGCCGCAAGATATTGAGCAGAAATATATCACGACAACGTCCTTTAGATAGTGCAAGTGCGAGTGCTAGATTGTCCCCCAAGACGACGCGCCTCTTCCCCCAGGAGTCCGCGTCCGACAGGATCAGCTTCACGGCGTGTAAGTCACCTCTTGCCTCCTTACGATGCATGGGCTCCTTGCCGAAGAGAGGCGAGTAGTGCATGGTCGACCAGCTGGTGCGGCGGATGGCGTGCGTCGACACTTCAGGGAATCGTTTGTTGGCGAGACCCTGGCGCAACAGAACAGACGGGTGTGCATCCAGCTCGGCGGCCTCGGCCGCACGTGCCGCGCGGTCGCGCGGCCGCCAACCCCCGTCTGCCTCGCGCGTGCGGCGGAACCGCCACCGCTCGTGCCAGCGACCAGCACTCTGCACCTCGGAGAGGTCCCACTCACCCTCGACCGAGCCGTGGCCCGTCTCGCAGGCGTCAGTCATGACGACCTTGGTGGACCACTCGGCGTCGAGGTCCGAGACGAGCGTGACCAGCAACCCGCGGAAGATCCTGAACTCGCGCCGTGCCGACGCCCAGAGAGGCCTGGCGCGCTGGTAATTCTGCTGGGCGAACGAGTAGACGGCGCTGAAACAGCTCAGGCTCTCGCGCCGACACAGCGCGGCGAACGTGCAGTGGCCGATGACGTGCTCGATGTCACGGCTGGTGACGCGGGGGCGCCGTTGAACCAAGTAGCCGAGCCCCATGCACAGCTTCCAGAACCTCCGTGGCGCCAAGGTGGCGCGAGCAGGCGATCCATGCAGCTGCCCGCCAAGCATGGTCATGCTCTCGGCGGCGTCGGTCTCGTCATGGACGGCCAGGCCGGAGCCCTCCAGTGCCTTGGAGGCCTCACGCCTGACCCTGGTCACGGCCTCGCGGTCGGTGCCGACCACGAGCACGTTGTCGACGTACAGCGAGTGGATGGGCTCCTTGAGCGGGCTGGGAACGGGCACGAAGTCGACCGCCCGCAGCTCGGGCTTCAGAGCGTCGTGCAGGTCCAGCGTCCGCTCGTGAGCCTTCTGAACGAAAAAGAGTGCCCAGCTCCACCCCATGGGAACAACGGCAAGTTGTGGGTAAAGGCAGGCCCAGGGCGGGACACGCCGCCCATCAAGCCTGCTGATGCCGAGCTCGCCCGCGGTGACCTTCGGCAAGCAGAAGTACGACCGCAGGTAGGCTGGCAGCTTGTGCTGGTAGAACGCGTTCTGGACGTCCACCCCCGCGTAGTAGAGGGGCGCGTCCTTCGGCACCTCGAGGTCCGCGAACCCCGCGGCGGAGAACAGGCTGACCGATGGATGGGGCTGGAAACGCTGGTTGCTACGCCTGCAGCCCAGCACCATCCTGATCCGCTCGTCCTTCTTGGCCACGAAGAAGGCGGAGACGCCCTCGGTCCTCTCTTTCCCAAAGACGAACACGCCCCGCGAGATGCCAGACTGGATGAAATCAAGGTAGAGCGGCCTGTTCCGCTCCAGCACAGGGTCCATGTACAACGTGGGCCTCCCCTCTGTCTCCACGGCCTCGTCGAAGCTCGGTGGCGGCAGCAGCAAAGCATGGTCGAGGTCCAAGAGAGAGCATCGTTCGCTTGTCCCCAGCCGATCCGCGAGCCACTGAGGCCCGTTTCCCAACTCGGGCCAGCTCACGAGGTGCGGAGCGTAGGGCCTCAGCGGCAAATCGTTAGCCGTGTCGCAGTGCAGACACGGGCGGCCCAAAAGCTCTGAGCAGGCTTCCTGGGCCGACGTGCTCGGAGGGGCAGCCATATCACGATGCAGCCCTCGAACACGTCGATGTAGCAAAACATCCAGATGTGAGAGGCGCTCTGGCGCGACCCGCGGTGCGGTGTAGCCCCCAAGCAAGTTGAGGCACTCCACGGTGTCCCGAGTACGCTCCTCGATCAACTGGGTGCGAGAAAGGCGAGCCCGAACCGAACGGGATAGTCCAGGCGGGGGAGATGAGGAATTCGGCGACGCGGACACAGCAAAGGGCAGCATGCCATCGCCAGGAGGTTGGGCATCAGGATGTCCACAAAACTGGCTCACAAAATGAGGCGATCGGGTCGAGCCACCTCCCGACCGCCAACCCCAGGTCACCCCTTGTCCTTCTTGCCCGACTGGGCAGACTTCTCCTCGCGCGCCTTGCGCCTCTGCTTCTGGATCTCCGTCTCCTTGGCGAGCTGATCGGTGGCGTGCTTGGCAACCCCCGGCGCCGTCGCGACGCCACGGCGGGCGCTCTGCTTCTGGCGGCCGATGTAGTGCTCGACGCCCTCGATCTTCATGCCCCCCATGGTCTCCTCGATCAGCTGGTAGGCCCGTGAGACCACCTCCATGATGGCGAGGTTGGAGCCGTCGACCTGGTCGTAGGTGACGGCCATCTCGATGGCGAAGCCGAGCAGATCGTGGATGTGCGCAGCCGCCGAGTCCTTCGTGCAGCCGCTCTCCATCATCCACTTGGTGCGGCGGCCATCAGGTGTGCCCCCATGGTCGACGATGTAGTCGCACAGCCACTTGAAGCTGCGCTCGCCGACGAGCGGGAAATCGTCATGCTGCTCCTGTCTCATGGCCGACACCGCATCACGAAAGTCGCGGTGCCTGCGGCCCTCCCGCGTGCGCTGGAGAGGGCCGAGGAGCCGCGCGTCGTCGTCAGCCAGCTTGTCCGACACCTCGGCAGACAGCGGGACAGGGTGGAGCTCGATCGGGACAATGAAGCCGCCCGTCGTGCTGTAGAGTCCGCTCTCCCCCCAAATCACGTCGCCCGCCCTCGGGGCGACCTCGTCGAGCTGTTGGCACTCGTTGGGGATCGTCTTCATCACGATCCATGCAGACCCAGGCGGTGCGGCCCGCTCGTCCGTGAGTACGACTGCGCCAGGGCCGTCCCTCGGGGTCGGAGTGCCCCCGACCTCGCCGTCGGCAAGCGCCCCTGGCTCGGCGCCCGCAGCATCCAGCGGGGGCGGGGCCACAGGCAGGCCAGGGGGCGGGCCGCGCGGCACGGCAGCGGACGGACCCTTGCCCCGCGTGCGGCGCAGGAAGCCAGGCACGTCGCTGAGACTGACCGTCATGCTCCTGGAGTGTCGGCCGCCGTCGCGCATGAAGGTCGTCGGCTCGGGCTCGCGCAAGCCGGCGCTGCGGCCAGCCAGGCGAGCGTCCCGCAAGAGGTCGATCATGTCGTCCTCGGCAGGATATTCACGAAATCTGTAGACTCGCCCTGGTGGGCGAACAGCAGCAGGAGTCGCCCCGATCGTGAGGGAGACGCGGCTTGGACCATCGCCGTCGGGCCCAGCCGCCATCTCCTCGGGATACACATCGCCGTCAGGCGTGAGGCAGCTCCAGCAGGTGTTGGGAAAAACGCCTGGGTACGGCCACAGCAGCAGTCGTTCGTGCCATATGCTCGGGTCATCCTCGTAGTAGAAGCTGACAACCCGTCCTGGCACCAGCTCACTGAAGAACTCCGCCGCCTCGGCGGCGGTCCCGTCGCTCAGGAAGAGGCTCAGGTTGGCGGGCAGGAGGGCCATCGCGACGACGCCAGGCGACGAGGCACGTCCCACACTGCGTCAGCGCCGCGGTCAGCACCACCCCAATCGCGTGCCACAGGAGCGTGTCAGGCTCCTCGTGCAGCTCGGACGGCGTCGCCTGCAGGATGCGGAGCTCGGCCAGCTCCGCGGACAGGTTGGTCAACACGACCTGCACCTCGTCCAGCGCGGCGTGGCACCGGCTGAGGTTGGCCGCGCGCGCCGCGGCAAGCTGGGCGCCGCGCTCGGCGGCCCGCTGGGCAGCCAGGGCCGCCCGACTGTCCCAGTCGTCGGGCGGGCCGCCTCCGCCGCCCGAGCGCAGCAAGCCTGGCTGCCACGCGTCCAGAGCACACCAGATGCAGACAAGTGTCCACGATGGCAGCCGCAGGGCGGGAGGGCGCATACGTGTCAGGTGCTCCCTGAGGAGAAAAGGCTTGAGCGAAACGTATCGGACTCTGTGTATGCATCTCCTGCACGTTCAGAGGACAAGTCTCATCATCATCATCATCATCATCATCATCATCATCATCATCAGCATCATCATCATCATCATCATCATCATCATCATCATCATCATCATCATCATCATCATCACCACCACCACCACCACCACCACCACCACCACCACCATCATCATCCCACACGGTTCGTGGCCCCATAAGGAGTTCCACGCAAGGCCCCAGTGGCAGGGTTTACATGCGTACACGCGACTCATTTCTGTGCACCCCTCACACGGTCCCCCCCCCTCCGTCCGAAGCGGGGCATTCCTTGCTGACGGGACCCTTCTGACTTCATACATCCTTCTGACTACATACATCCTTCTGACTTCTACCACCACGCCACCTTTCCCGTTCCCTTTCCCATATCTCGCGATGGTACGCGAGCGCCAGGGACCCCAGTTCGAGGAGTACTTGAGCGAGACGTTCGCCAACGCTTGTTCAGCCCACTTCACGAGATGGACGATCTCGACCTCTCCCCTCCCCGACCGGAGGTGCACGCGATGGCAACTCCTACGACGTCGGAACAGCAACAACAAGGATCAGCTCCTGAGGCGGCCACGCTCGCGCAGATCGCGGCCATCATGAAGCAGGAGGTTCAGCCCCTACGGAATGCAATTTCTGGGGTGCAGCGCAGCGTGGCAGATCTTGGGAAAACCTTCGAGGCGAGAATGGGCGCGACCGAGGAGAGACTAGAAGATATCGACATCCGTCTGACGACCTTGGAAAACACGACCCCCATGGCCCCCGAAGGATCTTACTCAGGATCCCATGCGACCGAGGAAGTCATGAACCACATCAAGGCGCTGGAGATCGAGATCGCCGAGCTGAGGAGCGCCGCCGGCTCCATCGGCTCCATTGGCACCACTTCCAAGCAGGAGACTGCCGTATTTTGCAACCTCCTCGGATTTAGCGGCCAGGCGGAGGCAGAGAAATGGTTGAAGGACCAGCTCTGGTGGTACAATGCCCCGTCCGCCAACGAGTTCTACTCAAAGGGGGACTTCTCGGGCATTCTCTTCGGCAAGTTTGCCTCCACGGCCGATCGAAACTCTGCAATATCAAAGCTCCGAGCCGCGCGTGTCTATTTGGAGGACAAACCAGTCTGGGCAAAGGCGGATGCTCCTCTCGAGGTCCGGGTACCCCAATCCGTTGTTCAGCGCGAAGAAGCTTTTCGTTTCGTGGGGCTTCGAGAAGGGAGCGTTCTGGGTGGACTCGGAAGCGGGCACGATAAAGATGGGGCCCGACACCGTGATGGAGGCGAGCGTGACGACGGGAGCGTTGAAGATCAAGTACGGCGACGGTTGGGAGCAGTACCTCAGCGCAGACCCGGAGTGGCAAGGGCTTCTGAAGGCGCACTCAGACAAGCTCCTGCGCAGCGGCACCGGCAAGGGCAGCGGTTAAAGGGGCAAAGGCGATGGTAAGGCAGGACAGCAACAGCGAGCTGGAGATCCGGTTCGCCCTCCACCCGCCCCGGCAGCTGCAGACGGTCGCAGCTAGGGACAACACCAGTCGAGGGGTACAGGAGACGTTTCACCAGAATTCAATGTTAATATTAATTTTAACGTTTACGGCAAAAACGCACGTGTACATACCCTTGATCGGCTAGGGCTTTTGCTTGGGGAGCTTTCGGAACTAACATGGGATGTTATTTGTTTTAGTGAGACCCGTGCAGCGTCTGATGATATTGATCTCGACGGGGGTCACCGCTTCATAGCGGCAGCGGGCTCGTCTAGATACGCTGGGGTGGCTATCTGCTTACATGCTCGGCACGCGGGAGGTGTCACAGCCACGCGTTCGCGATTTGGCCGTGTGCTAGCAGTAGACATGAATATCAATGGCATTGTTTGCACGCTCTTTTCTGTATACATGCCACACGCAGGATATCCGCATGCCGATTTACTCGACTGCTACACGTTTTTACAACAGGTGGTCGATTTTGCTAGGAGGCGACTCCGGAAAATATGCATTGCAGGTGATTTTAACACCCAGTTTCACTTTGGGGAAAGAGGGCGCCTACTGCAAACATTTTGTTTCGAGAACGGCCTTGAGGCCGGCAACGTGCAACACGCACCCGACGCGTGGACTTTTCGAAGCTCGCGTGGTGCCAAGCGAGTTTTAGATTATATGTTGTTTGATGCCTCTTTCCATTGCCAGTCTTGTTCACCCAGAGATTATTCAGATCTGGGATCTGATCACCGTGCGGTGCACGGGACGTTTAACCTAGGCCCAAGTTTTCGGCGCCAGAAGAGCCGTCAGCACGATGCAATTCGATGGAAACCTTCGCTCAATGCCGAAGGCCGCGATTTGTTATATGAGAGCTTTTTGCAGGAATCTCTCTCTGAATCTAGGCCGTCCTCTTTCTTTGCGCTGGAGGACCACGTTGTCGCCGCAGCCAGGCGGGCTGGAGCTCGAAGTAACGCAACTCGCTCGCATGCGAAGCCATGGGATGCACCTGAGTTGCGAGAGATGCGTCGACAGCGACGCGATGCATGTGACCCAGAGGAACGGTCCAGATTGTCCAAGCAGATTTTCCGACTGCACCGGAAACGCATGCGGGAGTATTGCGACGAGCGTGCTGCGTCACAGCTGTTGAAATTTGAGGGTATCAAGCACCTACCTCGAGTGCACATGTTCCCTTCGCAGCAGAGCAAGCGTTGTCCATTAGACTGTAATGTTTTAAAGCTTCGCTCGAACAGATTTTTGCCACGGACTGCGGCACTGCCAGGAACGACTGGGCCGAGGCACATTGCAACAGAGGCTCGTATAATATCCCACCGTTTTGCATGGAGGAGTTGCGGCAAGCTTTTAAGCGCATGAAGCGCGGAAAGTGCGCAGGTAAACGCGGCATCACCCTTGAAATGTTTGCGTGTGGAGGCGATGCTCTGCACAGACACCTGTTGTCGTGTTTGAATTCGTTGCTCAGCACAGGATGCATCGATCCCACATGGCAGGAAACGTGTTTTGTCATGCTGCCGAAAACGGGGAGCAGACATGGTGTGAAAAACTGGCGCCCCATAGCCATTTTACGCATCACATATAAGATATTTGCACGATTACTGTTTGCACGCTTGCAGCCTGATCTAGAGAAAGAACAAACACATGACCAGGTAGGATTCCGTCCAGGCCGCTCCGTGGACGACGCTTTTGTTGTTCTGGAGGATCTGTCCACGAAAGCTTGGGAGTGGCAACTCCCACTGTGGATCGCTAGCATAGACCTCACGAAAGCGTTCGACAGGCTGGAACACCACGTGCTTTTCCAGGCATTGTAGGAGCAGGGAGTTCATGTAGAATATGCGCGTCTCTTGTCAGACATCTACAGTGCCCAATGTGGCAGCGTCAATGGAAGTGAAGCGTTCGACATTACGCGCGGCGTCAAGCAAGGAGACGTTTTGTCTTCATTGCTCTTTAACGCCGGCTTGGAGCACGCAATTCGGAAGTTCAAGCTGCGTGCTCGGTAGTGCGGCTTCGACGTTGGAGGCGTCAGCTTGCTTAGCAATATACGGTACGCCGACGACATTTTACTATATGCGCGTTCTGCAGCAGAGGTTTGTCGCATGCTGGACATCCTTTCGGAAGAATTGTCAGCATGCGGCCTGTCATTGAATGCAGAGAAAACGCGAATATTTACTAACGACGTTGCTGTTTCCAATGCCGCAGAGCCCACCATTCTGCAGCTTGCCGGTTGCCAGTTGCCGGTTATGACGTCCCAGGTGTTTCACAAGTATTTAGGTAAGAAATTTGGGGGCGACTTGCGCAATAGGTCAGAGTGCAATGTGAACTACCGCATGGAGTGCGCATGGGGGAAGTTCCATTCCCAGAAGGCAGTACTTTTGAACAGATCTATATCTTTGCGCCTTCGTTTGAAGCTTTTCGACGCGATTGTTACGCCCACGGCTGTTTACGGTCTTTCGACAACAGCCATGACAGCACAGCAGCGGGCGCGAATTGTATCGACGCGCTCAAAAATGCTCCGCCGGATAGTTGGTCTCAGCAAGCTTTCCCACGAAAGTTGGGAGGAAGCGGGGCGACGCACCAAGCAGAAAGTGACCGTTGCTTTGAAGATGTTTCCTGTGTCGAACTGGCTTGTCGTGTTGGATCCCTCAATGTGGCGCCTCGTGGCGCGACTCGCCACCGGCGGCTCGCGAGAATGGCCGGCGCAAGTTCTACGGTGGCGTCCGGACGGCATCAGACGCCGAGGGCGGCCATGTCGAAGATGGACAGATGCCGTCGATTCATTTCTGCGACAAGAGCACGGCACGAATTTAATGAATGTGATTCGCAGCCAGGAGCCTTTCCCTTGGCAGCGGATGGAAAAGCATGTTCTAGATTTCATGAAGAGCGACTGATGTATACTACTATGTATAATTTATTGCTGCCCTGTCCACTACGTTTCTCTTGCATGCGCGTTTTGTTGCCGTACTGTCTCACGCCCTCCGGCTCCGCTTGCGGAGCGAGGTGCCTCCATAGGCCCCTCGACCAGACTTGACTTGACTTGACCTCACACGGTTCGTGGCACCATAGAGAGCTCCACCGAAGGCCCCAGTGGCAGGGTTTACATGCGTCTCCACGATCAATTGCGTCACACCCCTCACACAGCTCGTGGCCCCATAAGGAATTCCACCGAAGGCTCCGGTGGCAGGGTTTACATGTGTCCCCGCGACTCATTTCGGTACACCCCTCACACGGTTCCTGGCCCCATAGGAAGCTCCACCGAAGGCCCCAATGGCAGGGTGTACATGCGTCCCCGCGACTCATTTCGGCGCACCCCTCACACGGCTCGTGGCCTCATAGGGACTTCCACCGAAGGCCCCAGAGGCAGGGTTTACATGC